GAAAACAGATAGAAAAAATTCATTTCATTCTTTAAATTAAGTTAAATTTTTTTCATAGATAAAACTACCTAAAATTTTATTCTGTATAAAAGTATTTTCGTTTCTTAATTTTAGATCTCCAGGCATCTCCAGAAATCAGTGTTTTTGTACCATTTTATGGCCATATCCTTCTTACTAACTGATTGTCCAATTGTTTGTCAAGGAAGCATAGTTAGATCTTTTCTGTGCCATTTAACAGCGTCTGCAGTTCTCTGATAACCGGCAACTCCCACAGATTATTAAAGAGCCCATGTTCTTTATTTTTAGAAAAAAATAGCAAATTATCTAGTGTAGCTGTTCGCTGCTTCCAGAGAGCGGTGCATAAACAGACAAAATAGGGAATAGTTTCTCTTAATTCTGTCTAATTGTAGCTATTACAGTAAATGTTATGAGGGATTCAGATTCTGACCGCCTGCGTACCAATAGGTCAGTTATTACTGCCGGTAATCTAGAGAGATCTCTTTTACGCCTACTAAATACCAATAAGTTCTACTAGCAAGTTCTACTAGCTTACTATGTTCTAAAAATTTTTTCTTCTACAATTCGCTATTTGAAGATATTTGTTGTATGGTAAATGTTACATTTAACTACATAGGTATGTAGTAGTTATATATATAACATATAGTTATAATATGAAATGTACATATTTCACAGATTGTTTTTCACTTACAGGAATTTAGAAATATTTTATTTTATATCAAAGAAAAACAAAAATTAGCAAGATCAAAACAAAATAAATTTATAATACTTGGATTATATATTTTATAGTAATTATAGATAAAATAATTGACATTGATCTGCGTACAGAAGAATTGAATCTGGTTAAATAAATATTCTTACTGCTCCATCCTCCAATTAAAGAAAAATAAATAATTAAATATTCTGTACAAACAGTTTCAGGAATTAAAAACTTAGTGACATGTGATATGTAAATAAAAAAATTTTCCTATATCTTTCCTATATATATTCTATGTCAATTTTTAGTGCCATCTAGCGATTAAGTATTTTAATTGCTTCACTACAGTTTTTATAATTTTTTATTCTTCTATTTGAGTGCCGTTTACCACCACTTTGGCTGTTGTTTTAATTTAATTTTATTTTATTTTATAGAAAAAAAGTCTATAACTTCTCATTTTGTAATGAAAACAATATTAATATCGGATTTAATTATTTTAGTAACTGATATTGTTATACAGTACAATTTTATTTATTCATTATTTTTTTTTTTTGGTAGAATTTGTGTATTTTTTCTCTACGTGCCAATCTTGGCAAATTATTGCCAAATTGTAAAAAACAGACTTAATGGAAAGGGGCGGTTAAGAACCATATTATACGAGTATAATAATTTTGTTACCAAAATATAATATACAAGATGTGTATTCCTAAAACGCGTAATGTGAAACATGGGCGTAAACATAACAAATTTGGTAGGAAGTAGGAATAATTTTTTTTGTTAACATTCAATAGAGTTAAAGATAATTAAACTATTTAAAAAAACATGTTAAAAAATCGACCTGTACAATTTTTTGTCAAGAATTACTATTGCCATAAAAAGTTATTACATAAATTTGTTTTTTTTTTAACCATTAGTCTATTTTGTTTATAAGCCGAATATTTTTATGAAAATGTCTATTCTTTTAAATTATGTTCTATATCTGTGGAATAAGACAAGTGTTGGTCGATTATTATGTATATAGTATATATAGTATATAGTATATGAATATAGTAGAATTGCAACAAGTTTTTAATATTTTAATATATATGTATATGAACGAAATATGAATTAAAAAATATATATCTCGTTTATTATATTAAATGTATCTCAAATAGCTATAAGTGTAAACATTAATATAGCACATCGTGTAAAAGTATATCGCAACGGTTTAAAAATAAAGGTTATGGTGAGCAACAATAATAAAGGGCACCTTTCATAGCAAAGCTATGAAAAAAATTATCGGATAACCGACATATTAGATTGGAATATATTAAAATATGTACACTTAATGATAATAACTATATTAAGTTTTAAAAACATATTTTTTAATTTTTATTAATAGAATTTTTGTTGTATATAAAGTTAAAGAAGAATATTATAGGCAGATATTCTTTAACATACATTTGATGTATTAAGAAATGGTCTACTTCAATTTACTGATAGCATTCAAGAACAACATAGTTATTCTATCGAAAAGCAAAGCTGACATAAAGGTTCTAAATTCAGTCATCGTAATCTTTTATTTAATAAAGCAAAGCATAATAAACATAACTACAATACTCAATCAACATATTTCTCTAATCTGGATCTTTTGATATAAGAATATGCAGAGAAACGAAAAAGCCTATCAGAGATCTATCAGAGGTGAAGATAATCGGAATTTAAAGAAAGTATGTTTTTATAATAGTAATTATATACAAAATATCTTGAAAAGACTAGTCAGTGACTATAGTGTAAATCAGAGACAGGTTATCGAACTTGATTATGATGGGTCTCCGAGTTTAAAAATTAAATCAATATTTATGCATTGAAATATATAGTCACTTAACAAAAAAATTTAATAGAAAGGTTTCAAACAGTAGTGAATTGCAACAACAAAATTTTTATTTGTTTTTAATTAAAGGTAAATTGAATTAAATTTTAAGCTGAACATACAGCTGTTTCAAGTACTGCCGAATAGCTATTATAGAATCTCTATGCTCCACGAGAAAAAGAGAACTATAGTAAATACCCATCATCAGTGGTCTTGGAATTATTTTTTATATTTAATTATTCGTAAATAATTTTCTGAGTACTAGAAACTAGGTACTAGGTACAAGTACTAAAGGCTGAACTCGTAACCTGCCAAAAGAAGAATGTAATTGTAATTGTTAAATATTATGAGTATTATTATGGCCATAAATTTTGGATTTTATCCTTACTCAGAAATAGAAAAATCGACTTTTAAAAAAATAGATTTTTGTTTGTTCTTTTTTTTTGTTTTGTTTTGTTTTGTTAGAGAATACCGGATTTCATAGTAACCATAACAACTCAAAGGTATAATATTTACATTAATTGGCCTAATTAATGTTAGGCAAAAAACAAATACTAAAAAAAAATATCCCTTTTCGAATTTTTAAAATATTTTAGAGGTGTCAATAATTAAAACCTAAACTCGAATGGCCAGGGCTTAATATATATAAAAAAATAAAACTTTAGCTATGCTTATTAAAAACTGAGTCTTTGCAAAAATTGCACCGAAAAATTTTACACACCAACAAATCCATTTATATTCAAAAATTATAGCTGCCTTTGTTTTGGGTTATAATTAAAGCCACCGCAAAACGAATTCAGCAGAAAAGTGGTGCTGTGACCCTCCGAAAAGGCGTACGTAGGGTCAGGGCCATATGATTCTGAAAAGTTGCCCGTATTAACGGCATTAATTTTGTGAAGTGAAAATTGTTCGCTCTCTCGGCGCTGGTGCTAGGTTTAGTGCTCCACCTTAGAGCATGAATGGCAATTCTTTTGAATGAGTAAAATTCGCATACACTTTTTCGTAAAGTGGTGAAGTGGTGAAGTGGTGTGCTTAATGCTCTGTTGTGTTGTAAAGTGGAGTGAAGTGGAGTGGTGTGCTGTGCTGTGCTGTGCTGTGGAGAGTTAACACATTCATACGCAACTGGTTGACAAACAAATAATACTCAAGGAGGGTTAAAATCCCATAAAATAAACACGGAGCAATAAAAATTTTATTCAATTATTTTTTTCCTCATTTCGCCGTTTATTTGGTTGTTATTTTTGCTGTTGTGTTTGTTGTTGGACTGTTTGTTTACTCGCACGTTTATTTATTTTTAATGATTTAATACATAAGTTGAGTACCGCTTCGTTTTGTGGCAAATATTGACTTGCGGGCGGATCGCGATGCCAAGAGTATAAAATTTCCTAATGTTAGAATGCGATTGATGTGGTTGTGGATTTGGCTACATGGCGATTGTCGATGGTGCTGGTAGTGATGATGATGATGATGATGATGATGATGACGATGACGATGATTAAGATGAAGATACGAAGTAAGGGCTTGGTCAACAAAAGTCAAAACAGATTTTGTTGCTGTCTGTAGCTTGTGCTTTTTTTTTCAACGCTTAATCACATACACAACGCGAACTCTGAACACTTAAAGATACATTTGTATAATATCAACATGTACAGATACAAATTCATGAACCGCGCAAAAACATAGTAAAAAATAAATAAATTAAGCTTTAAATAAGATACAAACATATGTCAGTCAGTCAGATAGTTTTGTTCATGTTCATTAGTTTTTATTACTTTTGCAATTATTTTTGTTTGTTTTTATTCTCAACTTCCCGTACGGATACGCAATTCTTGAATTTGTGAATTTAACTTATTGGCACTTTTCAGAGACCATAAACGATTTTAAATATACAAAATAAATTTGTATAAATTAAAATAAAAAAAATTTATGTACATAAAATTATTAAGTATCTTGAATATCAACAACAACACATACAGACACACTTTTTTGTTAGCACCAAAAATAATTTTTATAAAAATATATTACCAAACACTTAAAACAGTTGCACAAAATTCAAAAAAATCCAACAAAAATTAACTTCAGTTCATTGAAAAGTAAATAAAAAAAAACGAGTTATGTACTAAAATAAATTAATTTTAATACCGCGAAGAATTTTAGTTATTTATTCAAAAAATTACTTCAGATACTTTGTGCTAGCAAATGCCGCACACGTAACGTATTTACACCTTTGTATCTGCTAAGTAAATAACATCATATTTGAATCGCATCTCATGTATGTAACTAAGCACATACGAGTATATGTAGATACGATTTTAATTTGCCTACAACTATAAAAGTACATAAACGCTCGGTAATTTGTTTTTGTCGTTTGTTAAATTTGATTATCATTACTATTGTGTATTGCGCCCTACAATTCATTTGCATATCTTATACCTGTGCTCGGCAACGTGCAGCTACAACTCGAATTATCTATCAGATTGTGCGGTTCGCTAGTAATGCACTCTATATCCATGCACTGGACAGAAAACTGTTTTATCGTATTTGTCAGACACAAAGTATCTTGTATCTAAATTTGCTTCTTGTTTTTCACTACTTCAATCACTTAGACCAACGCGCACCCACATATCAACGACCGAACTGCTCGACTCTCACGTTATAACTGAACTCAAATTTTTTAACAGCGAAAAACAAACCAACAAATGCATTTGCTCTCACTGTTTTCTCTCAGCACTGCCAGTTCGAAACAAACAAATGACTACAGAAAAATATTTAAGCAAATTGCATTTGTGTACATTGCGGCGAATTGGACCGACATTGGCATAATAAAAATTCTTATTTGAAAATCAGAAATTAAGAAATTGTTCGAATTAGATTCGTACATTTAATAACTATTGTTAGTTGTGGTTAAGGGTGGAACGAGTGCTTCTCAATTCGCTAAAAAAGCCGTTTTGAATCCACAAAACTTCGTAATAGTGGGTAATAGAGAAAAGGTCAATCTAAAACCAGCCAGAGGCATTTATAAAGACAAGAATCTGACCAATACTAAAGTTAGAGATATTGCCGAATGTGTTAAAGAAGGCGGCCCCTAGAAACTTAACCCTAATTGTGGCCAAACCTAGACATAGATACATGAGGTGTTCTGATGTCCTTTCTTCGAGAGCTGGTACCAAAGGGATACCAAAGGGTAGGCCAAGTCTAGTTCCATTTAAGAACTATATAATATCATTTTTACACTCCACAATTATTAAGGCCATATTATGCAGAAAGTCATGGGCACGTCAAAATTGGAAATTTTTGGTCATTACTAAAATGCATGCTTTACAGAATGTTGCAGAAATTGTAATAATTGGTACTAAAAGACACAAATATTGACATTTATCATTGAACAATACTGCTTTGACTAAACCGTGGTGCAGACTTGCAATTTTGAGTGTCATTTAAGAGAGAAAATCGATAACTGACTGTCAAAACTTCAAGTCTGCACCTTTAAATGACACACAACCAACATATTGGCGTGCTCACCAAAATTAGCTTCTTGCCAATATGTAGTGAATAGTCTGTCACTTAAAAACTTGCACAAACACATTTACAGCGTGCGCAAACACCCTTACTCTTCAAAAATTTTGTTTGAATGACACATCTTGACTGTGAGCATATTTTAGCTTGGTTGCTAGAATAAATTTAAGCAAGAAAGAGCGTAACTTGAATGACACTCAAAACTGCAAGTCTGCACCACGCATAAGTGACGTGGCACTGATAGCTCTATCTGTCATAAACAAATTTTACCGACATTTAGTTTTTTTCTCACTCTCAATTTTATTATTAGCATTGAAAACAATAACAATTTTGCTCATGATGAGGCCATTACGCTCTATATAACATTGCTCTTAGGCATAACTGCGCAAAGCTCATGTTATACAGAAAGTCATGAGGAACGTCAAAATTGACTATTTTTGGTCATGACTGAAATGCATGTTATAAAGAGAGTCATATTAGTATTATTAATTTCGCATTTTAAAAGAACGCATAGATATGCTCACTTACAATTTGCCACCAAAAATAAATAGCAACAAAAAACTTATGAAAGCTTTAAAAAGTTAAAAAAAAAAAACAAAAAAAATTAGAGGTATATAAACTTGGCTGTGTTGATTACTGGCATATTTTCTCCAAAATGTATTAAATTTGTACCAATTTGCTCCTAAAAGGTATGAATTCTGACATTTATTACTGAGCAATACTGACTTGATCAACATGACGAAGCACAGAAAGCTTCGTCACCGTGACCAGATTTTAACCTACATTTTGTTTTTTCTCTCAAATGATACTTGATATGTTTTGCACAACATAGTTGCGTCTTGAAAGAAAACAAATATCGTCAAGATAAAACGCTTGGAATTGGGGAGTCTTGTACCTCATATTATTAAACAGGTCGATGGGAAATTGACCTGTGTAAAGAATATAAGAGGGAAGTAGCGGATTCAAAAGAAAAACTTAACAAACAAAATTATCAGTTAAATTCTGGGTGGGTTTTACTATATTTCCTTCATGAGAATAGGATCCATTTCATTGATATTCCTGGTTTTGGTCTTAATACGTATTTACGTAGGACGGAAACGAAATTTAACCATACTCATTACTTATTAACATATTGATCTACTTAGCACTTTGCGTCGCATTTCTCTTAACGAATCAAATGGTGAATATTCTGCGCGAATAGATTGAATCTAAATGCTGTGAGTTGTGCGAAATCCTTGAGGGTTTTATTTTGAAATATTTCAATGATGTTCAGAAGTCTTTATTTTCTTAGGTTTACATGGATCACACTAAGTGAGCCTATTTTATAATAATTTTTTTAGAGACTTACAAAATAATGGCTTATATTTGTTATTAGATTTACATATTATTACATTATATTATGCAAATATCATATCATAGTTATTAATAACAGTGGAAAACATCATGCATATTAAAATATTTTAAACCATTTTATGCAAGATACAATGGATTTTTTCAATGGAATATTTTGATATGAACTTTAAATTAGTTTTCAAATCTCCATTTCTCCCTAACTTCTTTCTAAATATGCACTTGATTCATGATTAATTGAATATCCATGTAACATCAGACCTACAAATCAAAAAACACATTCAAAATATATTTTTTAAAAAATTTTTATTAACCATCTATAAATCTATACAAAAAAATCAGTAACGGAGGCAGGATTTCGATAGTAGGATATTTATTTTAAATGCAATGTATCTACACATGTTCAAATATCACTCAAATTTTTGGTGTTTTTAAATGATTTAAAAATTAAAATTTTAATTTTAAAACGTTTCTTATAGTTCGTATTTTTACGTATATATATTAACACTTCCAATTTAAACAGATGTAACATCAAGTATTACACTTTTCACCGCACCAATCCCAAATGCATCCATGTTCTGCAATACAACCGAACTCACCCGGATAAAGTTCACAATAATCGTGCATATCCATAAAGCCACAAAAACCTTTTAGGCAAGTATATTGATAACAGAATGGAGAACAGGTCTCCCGACGATTTTCCGCACATCCCGAACAATCCACAACATCTGCAGGAAGTAAAAAAGAGTTATGTTTTTAAAATAGAGATTAGTAGTGTCTAGTACTTACTTGAGCTGTCACAGTTTGGTGTCCTACACGCCTCCAATGGTGGATTTGGGGGCATAATAAGTATGTGTGTATTATTTGTATGAGTAAGTGTAGTCTTTGGTGCTTTGAGATACATCACAGGATATTTACATACTTTTGGATCACAAATTTTACTACGACGATGATGAAAACATAACCATGTGCTGGTATATTGTTTACAGATACGTGGTGTAATTACTGTACAGCAATCAGTTTCGTTCACCAGTCCTGGATTGATAGATTTCCTTGTGGTACGCATAGTTGTTCTGGGTTTTTCTGTTGTTATGGTTTCTATATCATATGCAGCTGTTGTTGACATTTTCTTTGTTATTTCTATTTCCGGTTTGGGTGTATGATAATAAATATTATTAACATTTTCTGGTATGATTTTTGGTTGACTTTGTCTAACTTTACTGGTAAAAACATTATCAATTTCTAGAATCGTTGTTATATAGGCAGGTGATTGACATCTGCGGCCACGCCAAACAAGCCCTTCCGGACATGCTGGTTCCAAACAACGTCCATTGTAATACTCACCAAACGGACAAATAATTTTTCTACATTTGCCGTCTGTTAAAACCGTTCCTTCGGGACAACTTAGTTTGCTTTCAGCTGATGTTGTGTATTGAGGTGCCGATGTTCCTGTGTTTAATGGATATTCCTTTTTGACAATATATTGGGGAAAGAAAATGAATTCTTTGAAGTTTTTTCAATTTGTAAAAAATTACAAATAAACTCACCAACGATTGGCCCACACTATTTGGTACTTCATTCATTAAAATAATTGAGATAAGCAAAAATAAATTTCTAAGTAAAAATCTATAATTTTGCATCATATTTTAATTCTGTTATTAACACGCGTCCGCAACATAATGAGCCGCAACTCAGAGCGCTAAGCATGTGAGACCTATAAAAGCGTCTATTTTTCTAAAAATAATAATCGATTTAGTTCATATTAGTTATCATCATTATTTAGTTTCGGTTTGTAAAAATCATGATTAAGTATTTAAGAAAGGTCAAGGTATAACAGAATCGGAGATAATTTTATAGAAACATTTTTTGAAGATGTGCTTTCCTGTCTTCATATTTTAGTTTGTTAAAAGCGGGTATTGAATGAGCTACACGTTCTCTGATATATTAAAGTGTTCGGAAATTAAAATTAATTATTTTTATATCAAATATTATATATTGTTATAATAAATAATAATGTATATTTATGAAGTGCGATTCCGGATAGTAGTTGCGGTTATTATCTGTTTTACTCATTACGCGGTATTTACAAACGGTGTAAGTTGTAGTCTCAATTTGAAAGGAGTTGGAGACGAAAACATAGCAAACGAGAAATCCTTCGCCCAAATAATTTTGTTTAAAATGATAGAAATACTAAAATAAAACCTAATAAAACCGGATATAAGTTTCAACAGATTATAGTAACTTTTCTTTAAAAACATGACTTATTCTACATTCACAAGAACGTTTTAAATAGTCAATAGGGATTATCAACTGTGGAAGAATAACATCGATCCATTTAATTTTAGCCTAATTTATTCTGATTTCGATTATTTTTAATTTAGTTTCAAAATAGAAAACCAAAAGATATTTTTCCAAAATGAAAGTTTATTACTGAAAGTATAATTTCATATGATTCATCAAGAAATTTGATAAAATTAACCATCAATATATCCAGCGAGAAGTTTATTCACTTTTTCTGTTCGTCCAGCACAAGAAATTCTCTCTGCGATCTTAAAGAACATTTTAAACTGATTCTTAGTATCATTTTTAATTAAAAATTATTTTATAAGTAGACAATTTAGCTAATTCACTAAAAAAGCAAACATAATAGAACTTTTGTTAGCATCAATCTTTAGTTTTATGATTGCATTGAACTTTCTAGTGTAAGTTAGTCAGCAAAAAATTAAACTCAATCAAATAACAAAAAAATGTACATAATATATGTTTTTTCTTGTTAAATATTATTTAGGAGTTTATTTATTTGAACTCAAAGTAATTTTAAATAATCAGATAAACAATACAACAATTATTAAATATTAAACTTGGAAAACATTTGTAATAAGTCAAAGACCTTACCTTCATAGAACTGTCCAATTGGATTTGTTGATTTAAATGGATTTTGCGTGCAGCAGGCCTTTAGTTGTCCTCAAAATTATATACTAATCAACGGTGTATGCCACCCATCAACCACTTATGGTATGCTATTTTAAACATGTTTTTTCTTAATTATTTATTTTATATTTTTTTACACTATACAAGTTCCAAATCAAAATACTCAAACCATAACTAATAATCCACCTATACCAACTGCTGTATCACCTCAAAATACTGTTCCATGCACTAATCAAGTGACAACTAATAATCCAGCATTGCCGGGGACCGTATTATATACCACAATCACAACATGCACCAGTACTGTATTAGCAGCAAATACACCGTGTACAAATCAAGCAATATATTCAACGTCGCCCTGCACTAGTAGTCCAAGTTCTAATGTTATACCCAGTTTAACACCTGCTCCTTGTCCTAATAATCCACCTACATTATATCCCAATACTATACCTGCACCATGTCCTAATATTATACCAAGTGTAACACCTGTACCTTGCCCTAATATTTCACCTTCACCATACCCAAATATAACCCCCGCTCCATGTCATAACACCGTTCCAAGTGTAACACCTGCTCCTTGTCCAAATATTCCACCCACACCATACCCAAATGTAACGCCCGCTCCATGTCCTAATACTGTTCCAAGTATAACACCTGCTCCTTGTCCAAATATTCAACCCACACCATACCCAAATGTAACGCCCGCTCCATGTCCTAATACTGTTCCAAGTATAACACCTGCTCCTTGTCCAAATATTCAACCCACACCATACCCAAATGTAACGCCCGCTCCATGTCCTAATACTGTTCCAAGTATAACACCTGCTCCTTGTCCAAATATTCAACCCACACCATACCCAAATGTAACGCCCGCTCCATGTCCTAATACTGTTCCAAGTATAACACCTGCTCCTTGTCCAAATATTCAACCCACACCATACCCAAATGTAACGCCCGCTCCATGTCCTAATACTGTTCCAAGTATAACACCTGCACCTTGTCCAAATATTCCACCCACACCATACCCAAATGTAACACCCGCTCCATGTCCTAATATCGTTCCAAGTGTAACACCTGCTCCTTGTCCTAATGTTCCACCATCATCATATCCCAATACCACACCCACTCCATGTACTAATACTACACCAAGTCCATGTCCTAATGTTACTCCAAACTCAACACCTACTCCATGTCCAAATATTACTCCTAATCCACTACCTATTCCAGATCCCAATTCTACCCCAACTCCATGTCCCAATCCTGTACCTACACCATGTCCTACTACCCCCGATCCTTTACCTACTACCACCGAATCAACCATTACAACAACATCATCACCTGAAACGCCACCACCCGCGAGTATAACACGCTGTCCTGATGGTACTGAACTCATACATGGCATTTGTCGTGTTATTTTTTGCGGCAGTGGAATTTTTAAATCCGGTCGTTGCATACAAACAGTTTGCCCTAATGGTACCATTTGGAAAAACAATAGATGTGTACATCCAGAACCAATTATACACAACATTAAAATAAATAATACTATTACAACAACGTTTAATCGCATTGAACCTGACATAGTTGTCAATAATGTCAACAATTTAATCGTCAATGCATCCATAAGTATACCATTGCAACCAACAGCGATTGATACTAATTGCGTTGAGAATAATCCGGAATGTGATACAAATACGGAGGTGTCAACACCAAAGCCAGAAACTCCATGTTGCACTATATTGACGCCTCGAATATGTAAAAAGAGCACAGCTGGTGAAAAACCTTGGAAATGCTATAGCAAACGTTTTAAACGTTGTGGTAGTTTTTGCGTTACTCCCATTATTTATTTAAAAACGGAACGAATATATTATGTAGATAATTATATGGTTGTACCACCTAATACTGAGTTCAACTACTGTCGCAGATTTGGTACATGTCCTGAAAGCCAGGGTAAGTATTCTGAATTACATAAAATTAATTTATTTCGAATTTTATTTATAATAATCTATTGTAGACTATTATGACTGTTCTGGTTGTGCCTACGGTAATCCAGACAGCTGCTCTTCGTATTGCTATCAATATATGTGCAACACACGTACTTGCAGTTTTTATGATCAACGTCTATACTGTGGCTTGGATCCCAATGCTTACGGATGTAATGAGGACGACGGCTGTTTTGAAAGCTATTGTTCGCGGCGATGAGTTGCACTTAAGCTTAAAAAGTAAATTAAGAATAATTTATATTCGAAAAGAATAAATGGAAATAAATTTATGTAAAATATGGATAACTTGGAAATATATATATTAAAAATCATTACATATATTATTTTTATAAAAACTTAATAATACTTATACACTACACAAAATGTGGGATGTATAAAAACCGCTCTAAATTTTCATTTTTGCTGTTGTCCTTGTAATTTTTTAAATTAAAAATTGAACAATTATCAATCTCATTTTGTTCGTAATATTCAATTTAATAACAATATATAGTTACCTAGTTGTTACCAATTTATTTTATATATAAATTTTTAAAGATAATGTACAGCAATGTAAAAAAGCATTTTAGTGGATTAATTATGATTGATGGTGGCTATGAAGGATTGATGATAATTGATATGTTATTTTTGAAAAAAAATTTTATTATAAATCTGCATCTTCTATAACTCAATTTAAAGTTAACTATCGAAATAAAAAGGTATACAATTATACAATAAATACATCGGTATCTAAGAAAAGCATTTAAGATAACTTATATTGACAAAGGTTTTAATTTAATTTCAAAAATTTAGTATGAACAAATTATAGAGTTCAAAACCACACAAACATTTTTTCTGCTAATTATTTACTACATATTTTTTTAAAAAGTTTGATTGGCATTTTGTCAATCTATGTCTAAATTTATTACAGAATAAAAAATCTGTTATAAAAATCTACTCCGTAATATGTACTGGATTCACACGAGAGTTTTGTTTATAATTTTAACTGTCAATCGTTGTTGCTTTCAATATAAAATGAAAATTTTTGACAACTGAAATTACAAACATAATTTTTGTGTGAATCCAGTACAACCCATTCTTTAATATCGTTGAATTAATTAAATCTCTCGTCACCTGTAACGATATTAATTGGAACAAGTTTTATTTAGAAAGCACAATCTATGATAAATTTTGTGGGTGTGGCGGTTGTGGTGAACTTCTTACTTCAGTTTATCTAAAAATGTGTATGCTACCTCCGATAAGTAGAACTACCTCCCCTTATGAATAAGTCTTTCACCTTTAGTATTAATTAGTTATCGGATTTATTGCTATTCGTCAAATATTTCGAGCTATGCATATTTCGTTAATTTTTTGATTAAATCAGGAAAATCAAATAAAAATACAAACTTAGTTCTTCAGTGAAAATCAAAATTTTTTTAAACTCTCAGAAATGAATGCATTTAGAAAAATTGTATAATTTTGATCCTCTTTATCGTATTGCATAGGACAGAAATTTGTATTATTCTATATACTAAGTATTTCTGAAACCATTGCTTTTGATCTTATAATCTTAATGATCTTATACCTCCTAATGGCAATTGATCTCATTAGTAAGCATTTATAGGCATTATCTAAAAATAAAAAAAAAAATCTATATAAAAATTACACCTACTATACAGCGAAAAGCTAATGATTATAACAACAGGGCTATTCTAAATTCTTTGAGCTTTACTCCAGGTAATATTTGTTCTATATCCTTCACCTTTAGTTCCAACAAAATTTACTATTGATTTTCCATATACGGATGGTTAGCTGCTGAGAAGTCCTTCATTAGAAGACGGCTCAAACATTCGTAATAGGTTAGGTAGGTTTCTTAATCATGTGAAGTGAATAACAAAAGCCCGCTTAATTAATAAATTTCTGCCAAATTAAAAAATGCCAGATGATTTGTCATAACATTGCTATATTTCATTTGAAGTTTCTCTGTAATATGAAGAGAATGCAGCATCTTTATATTCGCTTCGAAGTAGGATTTTTCAAACCAGATATTTTTCTTTGGAGGACGAATCTAGTAAAGGTCGCTCGAAATTTATTGTCCTTTATAACAATAAATACCTATTTGAGGAATAATAGAAAACTAAATTACATTAATTTAATAATGTGCTTATATAATTATAATTTATTTCTAAATTATGTATTACTAATTAATTTTTTAAATATTTTTACAAAAAATAGTATTTATAATGTATATTACTTACCGTTTCTTTAATTATCTTTTAAATTGAAATTGTTTAATAATCTAATCGTTTAACGGTGACGTCATAATGGAATGAAATCAAGTGTTAAGATTCACTGACAAGCTATTACCTACAATTGAGAATATTCTGCAACGATTACATATTTGATTGATGTACAGCTGCATGGCTTCATAGTGCACGTCCTACTCATCTAGTATATGAAGGTCAATATGAATACAGTATAAAAGATTAATTATGATCGCAGTGCTCCGCTCCTTTAGGAGCCGGTACCCTGTTTATTAATATTCTATTCTATGGTAATATAAACATCTTAACCTAAAATGAGCAATTTTCGAACGGCAATCGCTTTCTTATGGATGTCACATTTCTTTAATTATATCAAACAGTATTGAAGATCCTTGAAAATTACGAAATTGACCCCTTGAAGTTATTATAAAACTCCTTAAAAATCGATTATTGTGACATTATAAGGATCAATAAGACCAACATCAATAAGATGATTGTAACTTATGCTGTGTGAATTGGGAATCAATCATTAAACTAAGGAACTTTTGGAGGTGAAAACGTTAATTCATATACTTTTCAAAAGAGTTCATTAATGTTGACAAGTACTTAAATCTTTTTTTGGGCTCTGTTAATATTCAATATTAGCATTGTATTCAATTGTAATGGCTTCTGTAAATTCTAATTAAGTCATTTTCGTGATAATATCGGTAATATCATATCATGATACCTAACTAGGTAGGTTTAACTTAATTTAACTGGTGTTGTACTGTATTTCATAGTACTAGAATCAGTTAATATATAGATTAATATATAGGTAAGATTTCAGGAGCAGTTGAAATAAAAACTAAGAAGGTGTGAAGAACTATCCTATATAATATAGTTATAATATCTTGTAGCTGAATCCGATAGTTAAACTAAAATTAAACTCAGCTGTTACTGTTACTTACCACCTTCTTACTTACTCAATCTTATTAATTATTACTTCATTGAGAAGATATCGACTTAGCATTGCACTGTTTCATCCTTACGTAGATAAATCTATATATTATGCTTTAATAATTACCATATTAAAAGATACAGACAGTGATCCAGTTTGTGACTGAGTAAATGAGCAACTGGTCAATTTATGATAAAAGCTATTTTTAAGTCTCCATTAAAAAATACTAGATTTCTTATGCTGCTATATCCTCTGTTTTATATTGTTTTTTTAGCACACAGAAGACTCGAATGGAGACAACATTAAAGTATCTATACTTTAAAAGTATTTAACGCAATCGGAGTTGAATTATATTATAATAAAGGTATGAAAATAATTTAATAATAATAATATTTAATAAAATTTTTTTGTTAATTTTTTAAAAAATAAATTAAATTAAGCAGAGGCACTTAAACGAATGCCTATAGCAGTGGTTTCTATTTTCAAAACTTTTACTTTAAATTCAGATAAACTATTTTCATTTTTATATCCTTTACACTATTCTGATAAGAATATATTACATTATATATAAGATCTATTATTTATTATGCAATCTTAATTCACCCCATGATCTCTGTATGAATAGAATCGGTATAGTCTCCTAGAATAAACCAAAATTTTATTGATTCAGTTATTCAAGGCACTTAACAAAAATGCAATTGGCTTAGTCAGAAATATTTTCAATAATAGATATTTCCCTTTGGTATAAATGAGTAAAATTTAATCTAATTTCGATAAGGTTGTTATCGCATTAATATAAATGTTTGAAGAGACCAATATATTTCAGTTTTCTCTTAACCGTTGCGCAAAGTATATGCCTATTTAAGCTTTAATAGAGTGTTTGACCATTAAATATTTTAACTCTAACGTAATGCAGTTCAAGGTAAAATAAATTACAAATGTTACCTCATGTAATTCCTATTCAATTATTATGATCACAGTTCAAGGACTGTTTACAGAAAGTGTTATAATATTTACATAGAAAGTGTTATAATATCTAAATAGAAAGTGTTATAATATCATGGTGTGGAAAACATCAAAACTTCTAAATTTAATTATCGTGATAACCAAATCTCCAATTATAAATTTAATTACAAAGAAACCAAAAACAATAAAGTAAAAATTTAAAAAAAAATTGGTAATCGTCTTAAAATGCCTATTTTTATCGAACTATTAAATGGACAAAACTACAACAAAAATTTGCTTAAATCGATAATTCTGGAATTCAGAAAATAAAGTATATAAGCGGACAAAATAGTTGAAAGATATAGCATATAAAATAACTTTAAATAATTTTTATGTTATAATATATTTAATATATAAATAATAATATGTTATGGCATTTATAGAATGTTTAAAGAATGGTTTATATTCCTGAGGCGACTATTTAATGCAAGAAATGTGAACAATCTTCCAAAGATAGGATCTGTGCTCGATACTCTTCAGTCATAAAGTGTTGTATAATCTATAAAAAGTGTCTATATAATCTGTTTTTAAAAAATTGTAATTATTATGATGGAATTTATTCGAAAAGTTTGATGTGTCTAGTATTTCATTTAAAATTAAAAATGGATCGCACATCCAAAGAATTTTTAACGTGTCTCTAACTCACCGCATATACCTCAAATATCCAAAATGTTAAATATGTATAAAATACACATATACATTATCTATATACACTATCTACTAATAACACACTTTCTGTAATTTATTTTTAGATGCGTTGTAAAAATTATAGTCTCCAATATGCCATAGTTTTCTTCTCAGTAATATTCACATGTGCACTAGCTGACATACAAGAGTTCACAACTGCTCCAAATGTAGCAAAATCCCAACCCATCGTCATACATACACAAGCACAAATTTATGATCAACCGACATTAAGTGAATATGAAGAATGTCAACGGAATCTAGATACATGTCTCCAAGTATGTGAAACTGCAAACAATACCACAGCCTGTGAAAAAGAGTGCCCCACCTGTCCAATACTTCTAGAACACAATGTACTGGTACAAGGTATTAACGACACTAATTACAGAGCACCGACCGATATTACAGCGAATCATACGAATATCATACGCCTTACAAACGAAATACAAAATATTATTGAAAATAATTTGGGCAACATTACTGCACGTAACGAAAACAATATACACATACATCAGAATATATCCGATATTGGTGGTCTATTTGGTTTAGGCTATAATCAAAACGGGTCATGTTGCTTTGTCATACAAGAGACTAAGGATTGCGATGATGATCAATTTTCCACAGCTTCAAAATGTCATCATAAACGTAGGAAATTTTGTAGTGAAAAATGCAAAGCTCGGATTATGTATGCAAAACGTGTAAAACGCTGTAATTATGATGAAACTGGCGTTTCAGAGTGTCGCACAATAATTAAGTATGAAATACAACCAACGAAGACGCCACACACAACAAACAAATGTCGATATGTACCAAATTGGCCGTTTGTCAGTTGTCCAAGTAGGAATAGGAGACAGCCCAACCATTGTCGCGAGTGTCTACAAATACCATATGGTCATATATTGAAATATGGTGTGCCAAAACATTGCAGCAACTGCTATGCTGGCCATAATGGAGCGGATTATGTAAATGAAATGGTTTACTATACGCCAAATATGTATCCTAGACCCTGGCAGCCAATGCCATACTATCCTATAGTTATTTCTCCAGATCCAGGCTATGGCAATGAATGGGAAGATGATGATATGGATGAAGAAGACCAATGGAAAAGTGAAGCGTTAAAATGTCGCAGTGAAGATGGTACAATTACTGATAATTGTAATAATATTGAAAATGAAGATGATAAATACAATATTGACACTAACAAAACTACACGTGCACCAAAAGACGATGAATTTCCACAACTACCAGAGGCAGAAGATGAAATAGAGTTAACTCATAACAATAATGATAATTCTTTAGGTGAAGTGGAAGCCATGAGACATCGTCGCCGTGCGGGTTTCAAACGTTCTGCTTATAGCCATCGCAAATATTAGTTTTATTTTCATAAATTTTGTTATTAAGTAATGCTGCTCCTTTCTGTTTACACAACAATTTTTAATTATTTAATATACTTTAAAACAAAGCTGTAAACCACAAAAATTTTTGTAATGAATCCATTCAGTAGTTCGGTGATACCCTGAAACATTAATTATATAAGACCACAATATATATAAAACAACAATAGTTTGGTTAATTGGTCGAATCGGTTCAAAATGGATAAGATTCCGGTTCAAAAGACTTCAATTGATTACCGGTTCACAGCCTTACTTTAAAGTATACATTGTTAAATTTAGTCAATACAGATGATTTTTATTTTAATTGGCAATTTGATTTTGTTTTTGTAATTGTACTTCATTTAAATATTACATGTTCAATAGTTATTAACAATTTTTGTTGTTGTTTTCAAGTATTGAAAGTGCCTAATTAAGAACTAAAAATTTAACAATTTCAATTTAGGAATTATATTGAAAAAGTGTTTCTCTTGCTCTAGATAATAATATTTATAAAACATTTTAAAATTTAACTGCAATGTTTAACATTTAATAATTATCTTTTTTCTAATTTTGAACTACTTTGCACTAATTTAACGAATTTCAATTTTTTTTGTTCAATTTTTATATATATATAAACAATTATATTACTTGTGGTAATAACGATTATAAGGACAATATTCCTGAACATTATTTTATGCCCAATTCTTTAAGTTCGGTTTCATCATCAACGGAATCTTCATCATCAGAACCATGCACCGACGGTGCTGGAGTTGTATGCCCTGAAGTTAATAAGAAAATAATATTGTTATAATAAAATACGAGTAAAATTTAAATAGTTAAAGTGCTTACTGGAAGATGTCGGACTTGGTGGCTCACTAAATGGTCGTGAAAAGTTCAAATTACTTTTAGAACCATATAGAGTACTCTCATCAATATAATCAGGATAAACTGATTGTAGCGCTTTCACTCTTGCTTGTCTGTAATACTGTGATTAAAAAGAGAATATTAAACGTAAAATATACAGAAGACGTATCGTCGAATAGTGTGTTAAAAAGTAAGAAGTGAATTTAATGGTTCAATTACTAAGAAATCGTTAAAAACGACAATTATAAATGTTTATTCATCGTTGATATTAAGATATTCTGATATTAAGATATTCATAATCTTTTAAACTTAACATAACTTAATATATCTACAAATATCTATATATACAATACATATCTATGTACATATATTATATAGAATATATAGATATAGATTTTCTAGCCCATAGTAAACCGAATTATATATATATTCCAAACCGGGGTGCAAAGACCTTGCTATCTCAGTGATGCAAACATACAGACCAATTAGTATTAGTTTTGAATATATAACAGAATAATTAAACAGATCTATAACAGCATGATATAAAGTTAAAGATCAATTGGAATCAGTCTAATAGTAGGATAATCGAGTAGCAAAATGACAGTGTGACATATACCATAATGCCATAAAGATACAGCATCACCGTAAATGAATACTGACATTGTTTAACATAATTGCATGTACCTATGTATATATTAAGATTGCCTGCATTTCAGGGACTAAAATCCAATAAATTGAAATACTGGCAGCTATTTCACAGTTAAATACATTAACTCAACTACTGATAAATTTTTGGTAGTATCTTAACCAGTCATAACAGTTTTAAGGTATTTGGATTACTAACGAGAAACCTAGTGATGTCTGTAAGGAATTTAGCTTAAATTTAATTTAGATAAATTAATATATTTATTGAATGTATTGCTTTTTATGACAAATCCATTTGAATTGTTATTTAAAAAATCTTATGAGTTTTATGGATAAATTTTTCATTAATATTTTAAAAAACATGAATATAAAAATTGTTTAGCAATTCTTAAATAACGCTTGTCTACCTATATTAAATTTTTGACACAGGTCAAAAACCTGTATGGAGTCTATTCCATTCTCTAATAGAATATCTAATGGATTAAAATAAATATCATCAAGGCATCTATTACCACGATGATCTTATTAAAATATTTTGAGACTATTAATTTATTAATATTATTAAGTGGTAGAGTATGGAGTAATAATGATCTATAAAAAATATTGAAATTTATAACAATATTTCAAATTTGCTATTTTAAAATTTTTTTCTAATATTATTGTGGATATTATTATATTAATTATTTAATTAAAATTAATTTCAAATTAATTATATATCTAATTATATAATTTTATAATTATATATTAAATATAATTTATAAATACTTATTAGCAAATATCACTATATAAAATTTGATTATGGAAATAAAATAAATCAAATATAAGCCATACACACATAATATCAGACATTTTTGAAACGGATGAAATTAATCTGCCTTTCTTACTTTTAAACAAAAAAATAATAATATAGATAAGTTACTAAAGAAATTTATATTATCTGATGATATTATCTGATGCAAGCTTAATAAATTTTATATTTCTTTGTTTATTACAGCACTGATAACTAAAGTAAATAATATAGTATATAATAATTTTTAAAAGGAACTACAAATGAGCAATTCACTAATATCAGAGATGATGTCACTAAAAAGTTAACTAACTTAGGCTAATTAAATAGCAATAAAACACATTTCAGAATATATAGAATTCTTGAATTCTATGTAACAGGTACATATACTTGACAACAAGTAAATCAATTAAATAATTAAAACAGGTATCACATTTTTATTATTTCTTCCAAGTATAAACCGATTAGAACAAAAACTATTAGTTTATATTATTTTAGCTAAGTTCTATATGTTGTAAGGGCCAGCAAGTATGTCGTCCAGATGGATAAGCTAGCTCATATTTTGATATCCCTTGTGTTAAGTATAAGAAAATTAATTGAGACTTAGAAGAGATGATATATTTTTAGGCCTGCTTTTGAGATTTCACACTTCATCCAGTAATTTCTTAATTTGAAGTTTTTCTAGTATAAGAAATTCATGAACTATGTGTGCTCTCCTTAGAGTACAGAGTAGTTGAGGTCTATATAATTTAAATGAGGGTCTTCGCTTGACGCGACTGTCAGCTCATTCACTACATGACATATCCATCGTGACTCAGCACCCATTGCAAAATAACCCAGTTGTTTGTTTTTTTTTTTTGTCAATTTATTTAGAAAACATAAGCATTTATCTAACATAATTAAATATTGTGACATAAAAAATGCAAATTTTTAGAACATCTTTGTTCTATATTGCAGAACATAAGTTAACGTCACTCATTTATCATTTTCTGTATTACAAATAAAAATACATACAGACATCTATCGCAGAGGAGTTAATATTAGTGAGTTTGAATATCATCAAATACTTTTTACTCTTCCTTGAAATCTCTCTGGAAATTAATGACGTCTCTTAAGTGCAAAAGGAACTATGCAGTTTCCTTTTGCACATGGATATAACTACATACTAAACAGTTACTTATTATGTATAAGTACGTAATCTATCTATTTTCATGTGAAAACACACACACACAAACTTAAGAGCTATTGAATTACGGACCTTGCCCATTGAGATGACAAGATTGCTTTATCTGGATCTAGGTTAAGTTCAAAATTTTCAAACATTCTTCTCCTTACTTCTATCTTATAAGCTTTCCGTTTTCCGATTCCTATCATATAGTGTTGTTATCTTTATATGTTCTTTCTCAGATCACTCTGAGTTACAACAACAACAACATACAAACTATCTGATATATTGACATTTGTATAATGATTGATCTAATCCAACTGATTCAGAATATATACATTCAGTACAATTCAATTTAAATCTCACTATATTCAAATTATTTAAAACTTTATGCACTTTGGAGGAGAGAGGTATAGAAATATACTATATATGGATTACAGCTTATATTTATATAAAATCAGAATGTGTTATTGAAATCATTTCCGTGATAATTAACATCACAAATAAGTGGCAATTGGTTGACCTTAAGTCTTAAATAACAAAACTTTGACGCCAGTTTATGCAAGCAAAATACATTTTAATAGAATATTTCACTTTATGATACTCATAAAATCATAAAAAGCTTTGTGCCTTACCAAGTTTATAATGTATGTATTTAAACGAAATTGATAAGAAAGATGAAATTGATTTGGTTATTAAATATCATTTAATTGTGGTTTATATAAATTGCACTTAACTATTACAATTGCTGTGAAACGCACTGAATTTTTAGTTAAGTCTAAGAACCGAATGCTTAAAAATAAGTAGTGATATTCTTTAATGGAATATATACAATAAATACAACCTATCAAAATGATATTATTCATGTACTCTTGTCGACCGGCAAAGAGAACTCACGTGATAAATGCATTTTATCTTTTTTCACACTCTAAGAGATAATGACAGTATTAATTACAAAATGTTGATTCATGAGTGTTAATATTTTAAACAATTAAGGATTAGAGAGCACTAGCAATGCAATGCATAAGTTTGCAATAATGTTATCAATTCATACTCATATTGCATTGAAATAGTGCAGTGTTCAGTAACTAAAAATTATGATAACTTTGCAATGAACTTTTTATGAATTTATATGTGTTAACTATTATGCTTAACAAACTAAACACTTAAAAACAACACAAGTACATACACAATAATAATTTCCGCAATTTATACAATTTATATTATTTGCATTATACAATTAATATAAATTTTCCTTCGTTTCTTTATCAGTTCATACTTACAATGCCTAATGTTCTCCAATCGAGCAGATCGCTTAAACGTTCCGTACGATTACGTTGTATAATGCGTTGACGTCGATTTAAACGTGAAAATTCCATCATGAAATTAGATAATTGCTGTACACTATTCTCCAAGCCAATGTAGCGTCGATCAACAATATAAATACCATAAGATTTAGGATCGGCAACATGTTCCTGCATGAAGCAACCGAAACCTGATAAATTTGTGGTAATACTAGGTATACCCATGACGGTACACTCAGCTGGTGTATAGCCCCAAGGTTCGTAGTAAGAGGGGAAAACACCTAAATGACAACCACGTACAAATTCTTCATAGTCAATACCGAACAATGGATTAGTTGAAGTTAGGAACTCTGGATGGAACACCATTTTAACACGATCATGAACTGAATTAAATAAATGGCAACGACGTATTGAGCTTAAAACAGGATCATTCCAATCTTCTACCTATATTTTAATAAATTGAAGTATGTGATATTATTCCTTGTGTATAATTTGTTACTTACAATATTATGTGTAGTGACTGGTGGCATGGAATCTCTTTGCATTGCATACATACAACGTTTTATTTTTACTAAATCATCTTTTGTAAGCAATTCATCTGAGCCGGGTATATGACCTTTCAAACAAGTATCGAACATACGTTTTCCAATAGAGTTTTGAACATTATTTATGGTATCTCGCAATTGTTTGACAACAGCATGTCCTCTTAATGAATCAACATTAAAATTATTAGTTTTTGTGGGAAATATAAGGAAAGCCACAACAGTGGTATCGGGTTTCTCATGCTTTAGCATAGCATTGAGACGAGCTAATGATTCTATAAATATATCAGCACCTTTATTACCAAACTCATAACGTCCAGCAATGAAAAAGTAAAGAGTTTTATCCAAATCAAAATCCATATGCCTAAAACAATATAAAAGTATATATAATATTGAATATTGTGTTAAAATGGAAATTTTTATTTCGTACCCATAGAAATGGCCACGTACGAATTCATTAATTTTTTCCTTAGCCATGGCATGCAAATTTTGAAACTCATGGATGGCTGAAAACTTTTTGACATTCAAGCCATTTGGTGTTATAATATCAGGTTTGCGTTTGAGCAAATGTTCTGCCTCAAAACCGGTAATCTCTGATACGGTCGTAAAAACATGACTCATATGCGTGGCAGCGCGTTCCAAACAGTAGCGATGATATATTTGTCGTTTACCGGCTTCTTCATCAACAGCAAACTTATCCAAATTATTGTAAAAATCAGTATTACCTGCACACAAATATCGTCCCAGTAGTGTAGCATGAGTGGTAAAAACTGTAGCCACTTCTACATGACGTGTACGCAATGCTATAAGACCGACGCCAGCCTGCCATTCATGAAAATGCGCTACCACGCGTGGACTTTGCAATTCATTTATATTAGAGTATTCCACAGCACGATTTCGGAACTAAAATGTAGAAAATAATATTATTGCATAATCTATTTCTTATATTAAATCAAATAGTACTTCTTCTAAAAACTCGGCAATCATAAAGCCAAGTATAATAGCATCATTTGTTTCAATATCTAAATGCGGAATACCTATTAAGGATAAATATTTTATAAATATATTAATATATTTAGTTTATTTTAAATATATTTATTTTTATACTAACCTATGTGACTCTTCTCCCAAAGCTCAGATTTAAACTGATCCAACTTCCAAGCACCTGAACCAATATCAAATAAAATTAATTGTGGATTACCATCTACCAACCAGCGACCAGTATGCACTTTATAGCCACGTGACCGCATGGTATTGACAGCTTCAAGTAAAGGATTGCCACGCGGAAATTCCAACTCTTCCATTTCTGTGCGTGCACAGTGTTCTTTATACGGCCCCATCATGCATAATTGTTCACCCATTTCCTCTGTGGAAACATATGCTTTGGAGCGTATGACTGTGTATATACCTCCAACTTTGTTTGCTACTTCCCATGCTATTTCAAAGTTCCAGCGATTTTCACGCGATGCAATGTCGCCACGATCAAAATAATCCTTCAAGTCTCCACCAGACTCCACACGAGAAAACCGTCGCATCATCTGTAAAATAAATTCAAATATTATTTAATTAAATTATCATTTTTTTATTCAAATTTAAATTTATTTAAATAGGCGCGTTGCTGACTGACCCTAGAATCGTGAAAATGATCCTGATCCTCAAATCTATATGATAATTGTCGACGTAACATGTTTTTGTATTTACTCGTCAAGAGGTAAATATAAAATATAGTTCCCAACCAGTTCAAGTTTTAATCACAACTAAATCAAAGCCTGAAAAAATCTAATCAGCTTGCTCTTGAAAGACTCTTATCAGCTTAAGTTGCATACATTCTGAGCTACTAAGCTACTAAGCTACTAAGTTCGTAAAGAGTTAATGTAGCACTATTGACCCAAACTTACAAATGTTTTAATGATGATGAAGAGATTATTCAATACTGTTGAACATGTCACGCGTTCAATACTGCAATTGACAACACATTATGTTGTCTGCACCACTAGAATTCACTAATCACTGATATTCTATTGCACTGAGAATCTGATGGCTGGGCTGGCGTCATCCAGTTGACAATATTCCGATAAGGTGATATATATACGTGTATATATTTGAGAACAACATTTAATATTTTGAATTTTTCTGTTTATTTATATTTGTTGTATAATTTTTGCATGTAAAAATGTTTATAAATTTGTTACTCGATTTTGTTTATAAATTATTATATTTTTGCAATTATCAGCTTGGCTCTCAGAACTTAAGCACTGATCGTAAATACTTTGGTGAGAGAATAATAATCTTTGAATGGGAGGGAATTCTTATGCGTTATCAGAAAAATTCTACACTTTGATTTTGACGTGCACAGCAGATGAAAAACACATTTTTTATTGATGATGCTGTAATGTGAAATTAGAAAGAGAGAACATATACACAACTGAAAGGGAGCTAAAGACATACAGGGGTCAAGCTAAGTTTGGGTGCTTCGTATTTAAAAGTAAAACGTTCTACGTATGTTTAAAACTGATTAGTTAAAAGATTTACGCAGCTATTAACTATTCTTTGGTGGCACTTTATTAAAATGTAATAAAGTTTATTTTATTGAAAATATGTATTAGAAGGAATTTATAGAAAATATCACTTTATTTTTCACACTTTTATTTTCGCTATGCTTTTTTTTATACCACCACCTGCAACTTTTCGTTTTATTCTGGATTCACACGAGACTTTTGTTTGTAATTTTAACTGTCAAAAATTTTCATTTTGCATTAAAAGCAACAACAATTGACACTTAAAATTACAAACAAATTTCTAGTGTGACTCCAGTATTAATCTTTTTGTTATTGTTGATGCTGTAGTAAAGTATGTATATATGAGCTAGTATGCATGTAATTAAATTTTAAGCTCAAATGATTTATTTCATTTCGACAGGTACTTAGATTTCGTGCTTGTTGAATCCGAAAACTTGCTAAGGAGTGAATTGAAGGAGGACAGTTAAATTTTATTTAGTAAATATTATCATATCATATATTATCAATTCAATGAAAAGTATATTCTGCATATGTAATACAGTAGACACTCACAAATAAGAACTTTTAGAAATAATAACAACCAGAATTTACAGCCTGAGTTTGTCATGTATTAGACTAGATTAGATTTTGAAAGATTTGGGAACTATGTCACCACGTCACTGCATCCTTTGAGAATCATTAGTTCAAATCCACTTTAGTTCCATATACGCGTTGCAGTTCAAAATGCCATTATGTTATTTGGAGAAATATTGCCTAATTCCATTATAAGCGGATAAGTCAGTTGATAAGTACCGAAGTCTGAGTCTGTCGAGACTATCACAGTGACACAAAATGTTTTCTACTATTTTCTATTCTTCATGACAAAGTCTGCAGCTATCGTTCCTAGTAAAACCTAGATTCGAAAGATGTTTTTTAACTCCGTAATATCCAGTGAGAAACCCTGTCGGATGCCAATATCTGTTCAACATTAGTAGCTTTCTAAATCTGACATTATTATTTAAAAAATTAATTAAAAACAATAAACATCAGGGTTTATCAAGTTCAAAATAGATATTTATTGAAAATATATAAAAAAAAATTAAACACAAATATATATTTTTAATGAATTTTGCACTTTTTTTAATTTTAATGAGAAATAAATAATCAGAAATAAAAAAATTTGTAATATTAAACTATCCGTAAATAAAGTGGTTCTAATTTGTGAACATCTCCTAAATAACTGCTAGATAATCTAATTCAAGAGACTAATTGCAATAATAAAAATAAAAAAAATGTTTATTATTGTGCTTTAACAAAATCGGTAACTAAAATCAAGTCAAGGAGACTGTCTGTCCTTCAGGATAGAATAACACGGTTAAAAACAGGGCTTTTTAAACTTTAAATAAAATTATTTAATATCAACAATAATTCAACTTATTCTGACAATAGCAGACAATAACAAATAAAACCAAATAATTATATTGGCCCAATATTTCAACTCTGCAGTAAAATATAACTATAAGTTTTCCACCGGCTACGAGAAGTAGTATCTTTAGCTCAATCTTAATGGGGTGATCTTCGACAAACGTGAAAAATATATTTAAACGAAAATACTACTGTACTACTCGGTAAGAACCAAATTTGTTGCACGGCACTAAAACCTAATCTACACGGAGCTTCAACAGAACTTAATCTATTAAGATGACATATGACGTAGTATGACGAAAATACTACTGTACTACTCGGTAAGAACCAAATTTGTTGCACGGCACTAAATCCTAATCTACACGGAGCTTCAGCAGAACTTAATCTATTAAGATGACATATGACGTAGTATGACGAAAATACTACTGTACTACTCGGTATAAGAATTAAATTTGTTGCATGGCACTAAAACCTAATCTACACGGAGCTTCAGCAGATCTTAATCTATTAAGATGACATATGACTAGAAAATAAGGAAAAAAGTGAACAGTTCCAAAACAAACTTAAACAGTATAAACATACTCTAAGAATGGACGATACAAGACCACAAACTATTTATATAATGAAAGACTAAAAGAAAAAAGATCTAACGGATGTCCATTTATTGCGTAATTATTTAAAAAAGAAAATATATTCATTTCGACATAATTTTTAGTTTTCGATTACCACAATTTGTGTCATCAAAAAATACACACGAACATTTATCAATATCAATATTGAATCAATATTCAAAAACTTTATAGAAATTCATTACATTTTATGTGAAGCTTAAGAGGTAGACAAATTATCATCTCATTATAGATGTTCCTCTGATAAGATTTATATATTTATGAGTTGTGGTGTTAATTCTTCAGTTTTTGTTCCTAAAAAGGATATTATTGAAATAGTACCACTACTGCTTATTACATTTGCATTGAAGGTCGATAGGGACTTCAGACATCTTTTTATCATAGACGTTTTTCTGATGAATAAAAATACAACTATAATGTTTAACGAGTAGTGATTAGCTTTTGTTCTTCAGCAAATACGGAAAACTGATATGGCCTGAAAAAACAAAATTCTATCATATCTTGAAATGAAACTTGTTAAATACATAAAAAATTCAAGAAAATTAAGCACGAAATGAGCACGAACTATGACGTAAATTACTTCCACTTTGTGTTTTGGTCTATAGATTGAGATATTTTAGAACTTTCCCTATTTACGAGTAGTAGCTTTACTAATAAAGTATGTAATATTGAATAGGATAGTGCATATTATATCGTATCTTACTTGAGATTAATAAATTGAAATTCACTCTATCCAATATCAGATAAAATGACTTCATGGTACAGGGATCTCTAATTATAATTTTCATTCATATGAGTTAAAAAATTCACAAATAATTATACATATATCTACGTTTTTTTCGTAATATTTTAATTAATAATTTTATTACATTACTTATTATTGTTAAAATATAGTCTAAATTTAAAAATATGTATTATAGTCAGAATAATAATATTAAAATCTTCCGCACGCCAGATTTTCAAAGACCAAAATTCTATAATTTATTATTGAGAAAATGTGTGAAACGTCATCACACATAAATTTATTTTTATTTTTAGCTGTCCAACTCTACGATTTCCGTCCAATGTCAAAACCAAAATTTCTTGAATGTTCAATATAATAAATGTAATATATTTGTGTATACATATATAACATTTGTGCACCACTTCAAAATTATTCACGTTAGGAATTTGCAATTTTTCTATTGCGCTTTAAATTTTTGTTTTTTTTTTTAATTATTAGAACAAAAACATATTAAAATGAATTGTTTTTATACAATGTTACTAATACAAAAACCTATTAGATCTATAGTTCACATACATTATTGTTATTATTGATATGGGATATGGCACTGCGACCGGTTTAAAGTTAGTATCTAGCCCCTGTTGTGTCGATAAAAAGTAGAATAGGATATACTTTATTGATTTTTTTTGCAGCATAAAAATCCGTCCAAAGTTTTATTATTTTCTTATACTCCCTCTAGATCTATTGTTATTGTATTCTTTATTCAATATTTGTTTATTAAGTCTTCTCATGACCTAAGAAACTTACAACAAACTTACAACACAACAGTAATGAGAACTTGACAACGACTAGATTTGTTTTGGAACTGATCTCGAATATACCTTTAATTATCTCCAAGACATTGACTACATAGGAAACAAAGACTTCTAGACAAATTTAATAGTTTTTTATTCTTTTATTGTAGTAAAAAAATATATTATTTCCTTATATCTATATATTTATAAGATTAGTATTATTATTTATTTGTAACAAAGATTTGTATAAAATCCATCAAGGTTTATACAGGTTTACTTAAGAGTTAATGGCTTTAAATGTCATTTAGTGACCATATTGACTTTATCTAAATTTAGTAAAATCATATAGCAAAGGAATTAAAGACTATATGCATTTATTTTGCAGTCAACAAATAAATATTCTCGAATTCACAAAAATATCTACAATTTTTAACAATTCCCAGCAACACAAAGTATTTTGATAGAAAGTATTGTATATGTTTATATTAAGGCTACGAATTGGAACTGAATCGGAAACAAAAAAACCCATATTTTTACCAGCAAAAAATCGGAATCGAAAAAATATATTGTTTTATTTCAGTTCATCGCACAGCTGTCACTTGCGTAGTATTTCTTATTAAACTTCAGTTGTTAAAACTTTAAAAAATTTAATACTTAAAAACATTATTTATAAATGGAGAAGTTTGT